TGCATGCGTCTCCTTGGAAGGCTTTATGCAGTCATTATTTTAGTTTAACTTTATATATTATATAATAATAATAAAATATTTTACTAAATACACATGAACTGCATTGCTATAAATCATGATGTGATAAAATTGGACGTAGTTATAAAACCAAGCAGTCGTCTCAGGACAAGTTCTTATAAAAATACCTTATGCAAACTTTTCCCATTCAAGTTTTCCTGGTGTCATTGACAATTGTAGTAGTCATTTGCAGCATGTTTATGCAAGCATTAAAACATAAAGAAGTACACTTACATGCAAAATGAGTAAATAATTTACAGATAAAATAATACTTTTCTTTCTTCATATTTTATTTGTTGCTCACAATCGTCCGGAAACTTGCAATTTTTCATTAACAGATAATCATGTCGCACCTAATCTAGTTTGTGCAACCACAAATTGCACAAACTAGGTTAGACAGTCTTGACACTCAGTTATTGAAGCTCAATACATCTTTTCTCCGAAGAAGATGTGTTGCCATATTATAAACAATATCATCTTTTTATAAAAATTGTTTGTTATATCTCATTTAAAAATACAACTTGTGACTTTTGTCACTAATTAACAAATGTTATATTGATAAAATAATGCAATGTGTGACTTTTGTCATAAAAGGTAGTTACAACCCTCTGTCAATTCTTTAACTCTGAAACACAAACCTTGAGAAACAATGCTGCTGCGTGGAGAAATAAATTAAGCTCAGAAATACCAGGGATGTGATGGGGATCAAACTCGGAACCTCTCGCTTACGAAGTGAGTTGTCTATCACTACACCATTACAGCATTTTATTAGAGACTTGTTAAATATTCAAGGGTAAATGTAAGCAACATGTCTATATATGTAGGTACGTGGAAATCACAATTTACGGAACCGATTTTTATGCTAAAATTTTGGTTCTCGTTTTTTCAACCCTTTTTTAGGCAGCGTGAGACAGTCGTAATTATGTGGAGTTTCTTTTTAGAAACATATATGCACATAGATACCTTTTTGAAAAAAGAAAAGTTAATCTTGATTTATATATGACATTTATGTATACTTACTTGACATTTTTTTATGGATTGTTTTGCTCCTGAAAATTTGGTTGATGTTCTCACATTAATCTGTAGTAAAGGAAATGTTGATCCTCCTATTTTTATTATTCAGATAATTTTCAAAATGCATTTTCTATGCATATGCCAAATTTCAACAAAAAATAAATCTCCGCAGATAGTTTAATTAGTGTTATACTAAATGTACTACTTTTTTTAGATAGCCCTAGGCAAACATTTTTTTGTGGTGACTCTTATCAGAAACATATACCAACCTATATTATTTTTAAAAGACGAAGATTAAGCTTTATTTTTCATGACTAATATGTTTGATTAGCATACTATGGATTATTTATGGATTATTTTGCCAAAAATTTGCATGAAAATTCAGTTGATGTTCTCACATGAATTTGTAGACGTAGAAATGTTGATCTCCCTTTTTTTATTATTTAGATAATTTTCTAAATACATTTTCTATGCACATGCCAAATTTCAACAAAAAATAAAACTCTGCAGATAGTTTAATTAGTGTAGAACTTTTGGTACCTAATTTTGGTTTTTCTGTTGTTTTTTTTCGTTAAGCAAAATTTGGGGGCAGATTGGAGCCCCCAAATTTTGGATTGGAGTCTACAAAAAAATATCAATTCCAATATTGTATTATTTTGATTTTTATTATTAGATTTAAATTAAAATGGATAAAATTGAAAAAAGTTTTCCAGAATCTCTCACAGATAGCAAATTTAATTTTTTTTTATAATAGTATTAATAATAACTATTTTTAATAAAAAATATTGATAAATGTAAATCTTTTATTCATATGTTACATATAAAAAGATTATTGTTTTAGATTAAAACGCTTGCTTTTGAATGGATTGTTAACTGATAGTATCAGTTGACAATTTTATTAACACACCACATATAAATAAATATACAAATCAGATACTTCATTGTTTTATTCTTAACAAAAAATTTGTTAGTGTTTTTCAAATATAATAAAAGATATTATTAGTATCATCTTTTTTCACTTCGTTGTATACTTCTTTAACTGGATTATTGTTTAAATCATTATACTAGATACCTAATGTTTACTTATTGTATAGACCCTACCAAATATTATGCTTATTTTTAAGATTTTATAAGTATAAATAACATCATTTGTATATGAATCGCAAACTTGAAAAAAATAACATGTCCTGCAAAAATTCACATAACATAATAATAATCCCCTTTTTCAAGTTAGCGATTCATATAACTACAACCAAACTAACATAATTTATATATAAACAAAGTATACACCATTACTAATGGTGCATACTTTGTTTATATATAAGCTAACATAAGCAATGTATATACTTCTGTTTATAATAGTGAAACGGTCTTTATTATACTAATGGCATTAGGATAATAAAGACCATTATACCATTATAAGCCAAGGTATATAAATTCCTAATGTTAGCTTATTGTTTATAAATATATTTTCTTTATATTTTTACTGTTATAATTTCATTGTTTATTTTCATTTTGTTGATAAGGTTGTTGAATCTTACACAGAACTGATTTGACGATTGTTACTTTTGTAACTTACTGTTGACAATTACACAATAATAGTATACATAAAACAATTATTTCTAATATGTGTATACCTTTCTTATCAATTGCAAATAAAATTTTATTTTATTTTTTTATTTAGTTTCACAACCTCCACAAAAAGCATAATCTTCTGCTAGTAAATTTATGAATTAGAAATTTTTCTGAATGATTATTGAATTCATTTTTATGTTATTCATCAAAGTGCAGTAGAAGTAAAAAAATTTAAATTTTTACTTTGATTAAGCTATAATTGAAGTCTTTCATTCTATTTGTTCAGCCAACGACTTTCTAGATATATGCATCAGCAGCCTGAACCGACTAGCAATTGCTCATTTTTATGATGAGCCCATTTAAGAGGGAATGATGGGGAATCATTTAGATAGACCTATCATCCTCCTAACTGGAGGTGCTAGGAGCTACTGCAGAAGAGGAAACCATTGTGGAGAAGTTCGCAGGCGAAGACAACATGGTGGCAGCTTTGTGGTAAATGGTGGCATACACAATCATTAGGTACCACCATTCTTGCTTTTTTTTAAAAAAATATATGTAATATCTATGTAATATAAAAATATATATGTAATATATATGTAATATAAAAATAAATATATATGTAACATAAAAAATATATATGTAATAAAAATATATATGTAATAATAAAAGTTTTTTTTATGATTTCTCTCAATTTTTACAATTATTTATTTTAAATTTTTTTACCCAAAACAATTTAAAAATGAAGCATTGACAAGTGTCATAGTTCTAATGAAATATTTTGTATGTTTTCAATGCGATTAAAAGTTGTAGTATAAAAAGTAGTCAAGTTGCACCTATAAATAGTTATAGACTTTTAAATACAATCAGGACTTTTTGAGGATTTCATAGTCCATATTAAATACAGTGTTAAATTTATGTGTAATATCTTATTGAGTTGATAAATGTGAAGTCTTTTTTTTAGGATTGACACTCCAACCTGCATCTTGTAATGTGGTACAATTTATAAAATTATGTCTCTATTTTAAATAAAGACAATTTTAAAATGTTTTATAAATTTTTGTTGACATTTTTTTTTAAGTTTGAATAAGAAGGGGGGGGGCGTTAGTTGTGGCTTGCCCCTCCCCTAACTAATATAGTAAAATAAACTTGTATACTAATTTTTCTTTTTCAATAAACTTGTAGCCTACTCCTTACATCTATTTTTTGATACCAAGTTATAGGCATTTGAATAAGACTTGAAAAATTTATAACAATTTGAGTGAAAAAAATAATAATTTTGTAACCAGTTTATTCAATAAATCCATATATCTAAAATTTGCTACTAAAAACATCATAACTTTTTTTTGAATGGTTAGTTTTTGATAATTTTTTTCCATTTAAAATACTGTATTGAAGGGCTTTCTAATAATATGTAATAATCTAGTTTTGCTCAATTTAAAAATTTCAGTCAACGTACCTATGTACATATATATAAATGGATATATATGGATATATATATATATATATATATATATATATATATATATATATATATATATATATATATATATATATATATATATATATATATATATATATATATATATTATACTTATATACATATGTATATATATTACACTTACAAAAGCGTATTTTTATAAGCATTTGCTCACTTTTTTTGCTTACCTTAACCCATACGGCTTTTTTAGAAAAAGAAGAAAAAAAACGAAGAATGATGAATGAAACAATTGCTGCCCAAACCCTCAGTTGACGCAGCAGCACTCAACAGCGAGTCAGGCTATTAGTCAGTCAATGTATGTATTGAAGCCCCTAGCAGCAGGCTATTTCATTATGACGTCAGACTGCTTACCTTAGTACGCAATACTATTTGTATATATATATATATATATATATATATATATATATATATAATATATATATATATATATATATATATATATATATACATATATATATATATACATATATATATATACATATATATATATATATATATATATATATATATATATATATATATATATATATATATATATATATATATATATATATATATATATATATATATATATATATATATATAGAGAGAGAGAGAGAGAGATAGATAGATAGATAGATAGATATACAGGAAGTAATAGTACCAAACAAAATTTTTTTAGAAAATTTTATTTGCTGTCTCTACATATCTATTCTAAATTTTAGCTAAATTTTAATATGCATTAACTTATTTTTATGAAAACAAAGAAATCAAATAAAGGCAAAACAAAACTACATAATAAAAATATTTAGCAATTAATTATAATTAGAAAAACCAACTAAAATACAATAATCAACTAAAGATATTATTATCTTACCTTGCAGGGATACCTCTGCTAATATTTTGAACAAAATAAGGAAGATAATACAAGTCATTGTGTGATAAGAATCATTTTTTTATTTATTTTTAATATTATCTAAATTTAATAATATTTTATGAAAGAGTCTTAAGAAAAACTAAATGTACAAACAACAAAATATATAAACGTATAACTTGTTTCGAGAAGAAACTTAAGTGTAAAAAACTTAAGAGTAAAAAAAAAAAAAAAAAAAACGCGTTACTTTTTTGAATTGCAAATTAAAATAAAAAAGTTAGAGATAAGTACTTAGTAAAATAAGTTAAATTTTAATTATAAGAGCAAACTTCACTTTCGATTTCTAAAGACACCATCTGCCGCAGTTTGGGGCTTGCCCGGAGCTCACTCATTAGTGAATTTTTTTTTTTTTTTTTTACCATAATAATTCTTTACAATAAAATATAATGTACATAAAAGAATAATGGAAGGACTTCTAAAAAAACATATAGATCTTATCACGAAGCCCTGTACAATTTATAGTTTCAACAATATAAATTTAAACATTTTAAATAATATATATTTACAATTTCCGTAAATTAAAATAAAACTGAAAAATATATAATTGTTAGAAGTAAATAAAGATGTTTTCTAGAGAAAAAAATAATTTCTTTTAATTTTTGTTTGAAATAATTATAAGTCAAATTAATAGAAAAATCTATATTAGGTATAACTATTTTGTTCCATAGATATGGACCACGATAAGAAATACAAAATTGAGTATACTTATTGCGACAAAAAGGGGCATTAAGATAATTATCAGTACGTAAATCATACTTATTTTTGGGTTTTTATTACACAAAGATTTTTAAATACACAAGGAGATAAGTTTTGTTTACATTTAGACAAAAAGCATAAAATGTTATATACGTTTAGTTGGTAAATATATACTTTCATTTCCTGCAAAAAGTGGCTTAGAGGGCGTAAAACGGTTTTTAAAATTTATTGCGCGAGCTGCGTGTTTCTGATGATTATAAAGAGATTTAAGTTTTGTTTTATTATTGCTACCCCATAATGTATTTGCATAATTGATGTGGCAATTATTAAAGGAATAGTATAGCTGCGTTAGTTGCTGTTTGTTTAATATGTCTCTAGCTTTATATATAACGCCAATAGACTTTGCAACTTTTGAGGAGGTACTATCAATATGATTTTTCCAAGATTTTCATTAATATACACTCCTAAAAACTTTACAACTTTTTCTCTTTTAATAACGATATTGTCAATAAAAAGGTCAGGCATTAGAGTTGGCAATCTTATTATTTTTGAGCGTGGATGGAACGTGAATGGTTTTGAGTAGCATATGAGACAATAGCTGGTTAAAATAATTTAAATATATTAATTGAAATATATATATGTATATATATATATATATATATATATATATATATATATATATATATATATATATATATATATATATATATATATATATATATATATATATATAGGGTAAAGTAGGGTAATTTCGGCGTATTAAGCTATTTTGCTGTTTATAGACAACGGTTGCTTTAATAATGTTAAATAATCATGCATATCGATGCACTGCATATATATTATTAAATAATAGTTAAAAAATTGTTTCCAACTTAGAAAGTTTTACGTAAAACCTGTTTTACAAAATACTCAAAAATGACGAAATTAGCGACCTAGTATGGTATTGAAATTTATATATGGTTATGAAAATTAAGAAGTTTGTTGAAAACGCATTAATATATTTAAAATATTATAAACAGCTATAAATCTGGATTGTATAAAGAATTGTCTCTTAAATAGAATTTGTTACACCTAATTGGCACTTAATTAAGGGCGTTTCAGTTGCAAAAAATAATAATTTTTGAACCACCTATTTACTTTATTAAAGTATGAATGTCATGTATTTTTAAAGTATGAATGTTACCTTTTTTATTAAGGTATGAATGTCACCCAAAACAGAAACCTTATTAAATATAAATGTGCTTCCAAAGTATAATTGTTAATGAAACGATTACTAATTTCTACGATTTCGATGATTATTTCTAAATTCTGTTTAAATAAGAATTTATGTTTATAAGCTCATAAGTAGTTCATAAAATAATATTTTACATAACTTCAATAGTTAAACTTAAAAAAATAAAAAACAAAACTCAAAGGAAACTTTTTTAATAAGAGATTTATTTAAGAAAGTTAAAACACATTTTATCAATATATGACATATAACTTTTTTTTTAAGAATCAGTGCTTTATACAGTCATCACAAGTAAATACTTTTTTAGTATAAACACCACATATAGCAGCACATGTTTCATGCCACCATCTACAGCAAGTCCAGCTAGTGATCCAAATGTAACACCATAAGGTTGTGAGGTTTCATCGTGTGAGGTGGCTAATTCTGATGATTTCTGAAGTGCAAATGATGAATTTGGTGAAATAGATTCTAAATAAAAATTATTTAACTAAAGAGGGTGAATAAAAATAGGCAACACACAAATTATAAGAAATAGTTAAAATGTTTTTAAAAAATTTGAACTTTCTTTAAGAAACCTTTTTTTAGGTTAATAAAACAACAGATAAGTTAATATTTTGCTTGATTTTAAAAAAGTCATATTTCTAGTTTAAATAAAATGCGAAAGATGTTAAAAATAATACAACATTTATGACGATTTACCTTTTTGAGTGTCAATAACTTTTTGAGTGAAAAGCTGAGAGTGTTGTTGGGTGTCTTGCACGTAACTTTTTAACAAAATTATCAACAGGTGCTCGTTTTATATAGTCATGTAGTGTTTGTCTTGGTATTTTATATTGTTTAGCAGCAGAATATTTCGAGCAACCATCAACTAAAACTGCATTTACTGCCATTTTTAATGATTCTTGTGACCAATTACCATATTTTACACGTTTTGAACTCATTATATGATGCTGTAAAATAATGTTTACATATATATATATATATATATATATATATATATATATATATATATATATATATATATATATATATATATATATATATATATATATGTATATATATATATATACATATTTATATATATATATACATATATATATATATATATATATATATATATATATATATAATGTATATATATATATATATGTATATATATATATGTATATATATATATATATATATATATATAATATATATATATATATATATATATATATATATATATATATATATATATATTATATATATATATATATATATATATATATATATATACATATATATATATATACATATATATATATATATATATATATATGTATATATATATATATATATATATATATGTATATATATATATATATATATATATATATATATATATATATATATATATATATATATATATGTATATATATATATATATATTTATATAAATATATATATATATATATATATTATTATTCTATGTATATTATTCAATAATATTCAACAGTATGTATATAATTAATAAACGATTTGTTATATACAATAATAATTATTGTATATAACAAATTATAAATTTATTATATACATATTGTTATGTATGACATAAATTTAAAATATATGGTGGGGAACTATTATTTTGATAAGTTTCACAGTGACACTAACTAAATTCACTTTTTACTAACTCGTTATTAGTTTAATATTATCTGAGTTACTAAAATCAATTTCTTCTTTACATAATATTTGAAACACTTATTTCCATTTTAGTTTTGGAGAAACAACAGGTCGGCAAATTCGGCACTGCCGAAATAC